AGGAATCAAGGGAAGGCAACGATGGAGTGAGCCATAAAGGCTTCTGTGCTCTTCAAGTACATGCTATATTATATTTTTATTTGCTATGACTATAAGACTTCAATATTCTATTTTGTTATGTCATGTTAAAAATATTTTGAAATTATGACTTGTTGAAGTGTTAGAAATACGTGTGGACTTCTAAATGAAGTATTTTATCGTGTATGTAGATATAATTATATGAGGTGTTACCAATACACATAATAACAATATTTCTTTGGATATTAACAATAATCCATTACCGAATAGTAAGTATCAACTGCAAAACTTTAACCACTTACATTTCTCCATCATTCATTGCTCCACCTTCTTTCTGGTTCCCTTTCGATGCTACATACAAATGAGCACTACTATCATTATATCCAAACATATTGCAAATATCACCTTCATGATAAAGATTAGTAAGTGTGCTCTCAGCAAACTTAATCGTGTCCTTAATATCCCACCTTTTAGTATCATTGTGTATCCACTATGATATTGTCCCCATTAATTCCTCCAGCGTTATCCCTTCTTTTATGCTGCTTGCTGTCACACTCCCTCCAGCATATTTAACTTCACCTTCATTGTTTCTTTCAAAATACCCACCAACATGGAAAAAACAAAACAAATCCTTCCTAAAGCTTGACCCATTATTACAATTCATTTTCTCATGCTAATCTGGAACAACAATTTACATATAATAAATATATCAGCTTCAATATACTTTTATTCAATCAAACGAATCGTTTGCATTTAGAAATCAAGGCTAACTACCTCTTCTTTTCCCCACTTGACATTAGGCTTTTACAAGTTTGACATTCTAAATAACAAGATTTTCATTCCCCTCCCCCCACCGCACCACATTAAACTTTACACTCAAACTAACAATTATTACCTCCTTCCATTTCTCCTCCCCCACTCTCCTATTTGTGACATTCCTAACACAGATCAGTGGCAACTTGCCTCGTAAAAGTCACAGGTCAACAATCTGACTATAAAGACAAAAATTTTAAAGCTGAACCCAACTGAAACCTCTTCAAACAATATTATTCCATGATCAACTCCCCCTCTCATTCCCTCCATACCTATCACCCAACAACCCATAACGCCACTCACCACATTCAAGAACAACATAACATTCCTCAGTCTTAGTGGGTAGAGAAGAAGAGTTTACTTAAAAACATTAGAAACATTACTTACTTGATTCTCAAGCTTGTGTAGCACCAATCTTCTCCTTCAAGCACTCCATCGATTATATTGTTTGTCTCAGCCTTCATTAATGAAGCTGATTTACTGAGGGGTAATTTCATCTTTTCACCAATATTTGCTATTTGCAATTTGAAATCGGGTCCCTAATGACAATTTGGCTTATTTAGATGACATCCTTGTAATTTTGGTAATTCAGGGGTCTTTATTTGTCATTTTTCCTAAGTTTTTTCATATATTAAATAGAAGTAAAATTAAAAAGTTATGAAATATTAAGATAGGGTCGACAAGTTTTAAGGCTTTTTTTCTTTTATATGAAACATGTTAAAAGTAACTTATAAATATGACTAAAGAAGTATATAACAATTTTTAACTAGTTCAATATACACTTTATTCCAACAGTACAAAGTCTACAAAATAATAAATTAAAGATAAAATTGATATTTATATAAGACAATTTGATAATGTGATTTATACTTAAGACAAAAAATTTTCTCTATCTTATAAACAGAGTACAAAAAACCGGACCAGACTAGCTGGTTCAAACTGGAAATTGACGAACTAGACCTTAGTTCGGTCTGATTCAATGGGTAAATCGGCTCTTAATCAGCCCGTAATAAAGCGAGACAAACCGGTTAAAATCAGAAAAACCAGACAACCCACTGGTTTAGGTGGGTTGCTAGTTGTTTACCTAGCCTATCTTTCTCCCTTGCTACTCACTGGAGAAGCTCGTGCTCTGCTCATGGAAGACTGGAGACAGGAAGGTAAGGAGAAAGAAGGGGGAGAGAGAGAGAGATGGATGAGCCGATGAGGCATAGAGAGAAGTGAGGAAGAAAGAGATATGAGAAGGCTTAGAGGTAGGGCTGCACATGGGCAGGGTTGGGCAGGGCAAGCCCCTTGCCCGATGCCCAGCTTGAAAGATGAGCGGTCTGCATTTTGCCATTTTGCAGCCCGCTGCCCGGCTTTGCCCAGTAGAAGCCCTAACTATTTTGGGCAGGACAAGGGCAAGCTGGGTAGGGCAGGCTTTTCTGCCCAGCATAATGACACCCTGCCCTATATCATATGTAGAAAAAAATTCAATTATCGTGTTTTGAGACAAATGAAAGGAAAAAAATTATCACGAATGAGTCTATCACTCATACATATATAAGGCTTATGTAGTCTTATTCTTTAGCTTTCGATTTCTTATGGGAGGTAAAAAAATATATTTAATAATTAGAACAAATTAATAATTAAGCTAAATCAATAGTTCAATTCCTTAGTTTATTCATATAGTTGGCGGATTCTTATAATCATATGAAAGCGCAAAATTTGAAAGGTGGTTTTATTTTTCTTTTTTTTTTGTTTTAAAAAATTGGATGTAAGAGAAAAAGAAGGAAATTTGACTTGCAGTAATTTAGCATATTGAATCTTATATTTTGATATTTAGCTCTTTTATATAATTATAATTTTTATGTTCTTTTCATTTTTTCTAATTTTACCTAATTTTTTTAACCAAAATAAAAGAGATAATTGCTTAAAATAATATTATCTTATATATATAATTATATATATTTTCAGGCAAGCCAAATGGGCAGGGCAGCATATCCTGCTCGCGGCCCTACCCTGCCCGTGAATCAGCCCAACCAAAATATGCCCATTTTTGCTTGGATAACTTTTTACTGGGCACTTTTCTTGCGGGCTTGAGTGGGCTTATGGGGCATGCAGGCCTTATGCACACCCATACTTAGAGGAATGAATGAGGTGTGTTCAAGGAGGAAATATTAGTTGTGTTCAGTATTAAAAGTAGGAAAGAGAAAAAACAAAAAAACTAATGGGAATGACCGAATGGGAGTGCTCACATGGGTAGAAAAAAACACAAAGAGAGAGGAAAATGAAAAATAATTTAAAAAAATTATTGGGTCAGGTGAAAAAAAAGAAAAAAATAAAAAAAAAATTCATAGCATAAATATTTTCTAGATGAGTGCTCATTAAAAATTATATAATATTTTTATAATTAAAATATGAATATTTTTATTCATTTTAATTAAGTTATATTGTTTTAATTATTGCCTATTTGATTCCGAGTTGACTCTAGTCTGACCCATTGAATCTTGAACCAGTATCTCAACCGGTTTACTGACTGATATAATTTTTTGAACCTTACTTATAAATAATATTAGAGAAGTACTCCTCCGTCCTAATTATAAGACCAATTGACTTATTTGAGGAGATTAAGGAAGTAAGTTAAGTTGGTTATTTATAATAAATAAGTCCTAAAATATCCTTGCTAATTAAATATATTGACTAAAACTATCATTATTAAACGGATTATCTTGGACAAAAATGCATAAATATAAAAGAAAATGGATTGGGTCTTATAATTAGGACCAAATAAAAAGTCAAATTGGGTCTTATAATAAGGACCGGAAGAGTATATGATTATTTATAAATAAAACTGCAATGCTTAGCTTTTAATTATAAAGATGAAATAGTTGGCAAAAACCAAGATGCTTAAAATAATAGAAATGGAAGATTGAAGAAGAGAAATGGAGAGATGAGGAAGTGGGACCAACTGATGGGGAGGATGCATTTTCACCAGAAATTCTTAGGTACTGTATAAGCACCATGTCACTTGAATACTGTCCACTAAAAACACACCATCTCAATCAATTGCAAGCCTACTTGTCATGGGTTTTTTTAATAGAAAATATTCTTCTAGTATTAGATATAAAATCTCTTTTTACAATATAATTTATACTATAAAAAATTTTATATTTAGGATCAGAATAATATTTTATAAAAAAAAACTAATGCTACAATTGTTTCTCTCTCCTCTTGTTTAATACGCGTCTCTCAAATTTTCTCTTTCTTTTGCGCTTCTCCTCCTCAACTTTCCCATCTCCTTTCTCCTTTTCATCTTCTTTCTCATCATCCTTCCCTAGTGTCTTCCTCCTCTTTCCGGCATTCCTATCCTAACAGTCCATTTGGCCCTTCCTTTTTTCCCCCCTTCTAAAAGCCCTCTTACTCAGCTTCTCCCACTTTCACCATCTCTCCACCGCCACAATGCCCTGCGCCGCCGTTGGCATTATGTTAGCCAAGGTTAGCTCGTGCTCAGGCCATTTGAAGGGTGCCATTACTTCCCGGACAGCATCTTATCCATGAGCACTCCATGAATCTTGAGATTATGAGAGCTATTTTTGCTAGCCCAAGCTTCAGCTCCTTCAACAAATTTAGCAGCCGCAAAATGGAGCCAGAGGGGTTTTAAAAATTTTGTGCAAGTGCTGTACTTACATCTGGACTCAGCTCTTTATTTTTCAGCAAAACTTGAACTCCGTTGTGCTTAGGAGCTTAGCGTGCCACAATGCAATTTTTCATCTAAAAAAAAAAAATTGGTGAAAAGAAGAATGTGGGAGAGAGAAACCGGTAAAGAATAATAAGAAAGAAGATGAAAAGGAAGGAAAAAGAGAGTCAGTAAAGACAGGTAAAGTAGGAGAAGACAGAAAAGTTCAGAAAAGTATTTCCATTAAAAAAAGCCACATATGCTGACGAGCAGACCTACAATTCACTGAGTTAGTGCTTTTTTTTTAGGTGTACTCCCAGAGCTAAGTAGCTCGCCACACAAACCCACACAACACCAGTCAACGCCGCCTTGAGTCGGCTAATAATTCCTCGATTGTGACTCGTCTAATAATTAATTAGTTAAAGATAATGGCTCACAGTTTCATATTGATGATCCACTTCTCTTCTGCTCTACACAGTTCAAATTCCACTTCCCTTCCATGGCTCTAGAACTTGTCGGTGCTCCTTTCATGAGCGCCATTTTCAACGTGCTGCTTGAAAGGATAGCTTCTTCCGAAATAGCTGACTCCTTCAGGAAGAATAGCTCCGTCAAGTTGCTCAGAAGTTGAAGATAACCTTGTTGTCTGTTAATGCCGTACTTAACAATGCGGAAGAGAAGCAGTTGAGAAATTCAGCGGTGAAGGAGTGGCTCGATGAGCTTAAAGATGTCGCATTTGATGCTGATGATCTCCTGGATGAGATTTACACCGATTCAAAATCCAACGCGAACGAGGTAAACGCCCTAGAGTCTGCTACTACGAAGTTTTTTGATAGAATAGAGGTTGAACGGAAACTGGAAGATATTCTTGAAAGATTAGAATTCGTCATAAAACAGAAAGAAACCCTTGATCTAAAAGCTGGTAGAGAAGCCCAAATGGGCCAGAAGACACCAACTTCGTCTGTAATAGAGGCATGTGATGTGTACGGAAGGGACACTGATAAAGACGTCTTGGTTAAGTTGTTGTCGTCACATGATAGTGATGATGAAACTGTGGGTGTCATTCCCATAGTGGGAATGGGAGGAGCTGGGAAAACCACTTTAGCTCAACTGGTATACAATGATGAAAGAGTACAGAAGGAATTTGACCTCAAAGCATGGATTTATGTGTCTGAAGAATTTGATATCTGCAAGATTACCAAAAACCTTTTGGAGACTATCACTTCTTATAGCTGTGGTTTTGAAGACTTGAATTCACTCCAGCGCAATTTAAAAAGTTTTTTGATGAAGAAAAAGTTTTTGTTTGTGTTTGATGACGTTTGGAATGAGAATTATGATAACTGGGAAAAGTTTAGCAGACCATTTAAACACACAGGTGCCCAAGGAAGTAAGATTATTGTAACTACACGAAGTGGTTATGTTGCATCCATCATGCAAACTGTTCCGGCTTATAATGTCAGTGTGTTGTCAAATGAAGATTCTTGGCATCTTTTTGCAAAACATGCATTTGGTTACAGAGATTCAAATATCAATCATAGTGTGGAGAAAGTAGGTAAAGAAATAGTTAGAAAGTGCAAAGGATTGCCTTTGGCAGTGAAGACACTTGCGGGGCTTTTGAGAGCTAAAAGTGATAAGCAGGAATGGTTGAAAGTATTAAGAAGTGAGATATGGGATCTGCAAGACCATGAGAGTAATATTCTTCCAGCTTTGAGACTAAGTTATCATTATCTCCCCGCACATTTGAAAAGATGTTTTGCTTACTGTTCAATTTTTCCAAAAGATTATGAGTTTGAGAAGGAGACATTAACTTTGTTGTGGATGGCAGAAGGTTTGCTGCAGCAATCAAAACGACATAAAAGGGTTGAAGAAGCTGGGTATGAATACTTTTTGGAATTAGCATCTAGATCTTTTTTCCAGCAATCAAGACGTGATAAGACATGCTTTGTAATGCATCATCTTGTAAATGATTTAGCAAAATTTGCATCAGGAACCTTTTCTGTCAGAATTGAAGATACCAATTATAATGAAATTGGAGAAAGAACTCGTCATTTGTCACATATTATTGCAGATAGTTCCTCAAATCTAAACATGAATGATGTTTGCAAAGCAAATCGCCTTCGCACATTTCTGCAAATACAGTTGTTTTCTACATCCATTGACTTGTTCAACAACATGCCAAATGATATGTTGATGAAGCTAAGCCGCTTAAGGGTGTTAACCTTGGTAGGTGGGTATTTGTACAATTTGCCAGATTCAATTGGTGAGCTAAAGCATCTTCGGTATCTAAAAGTATCTGACACCAAGGTTATCAGGTTACCAAAATCCGTCTGCAGCTTGTACAACTTACAAACACTGAAGTTAATTCGATGCTGTAGTCTCATGGAACTGCCTACAAGATTACATGATCTTGTTAACTTGCGTTACCTGGATATCAGTGGCACCTGTTTGGAATGGATGCCATTGCACATGAGCAAGTTAAGAAACCTCCAAAAGTTGAGTGACTTCTTTCTTGGAAATCAATGCGGATCTATCATTGGTGAATTGGGTGGACTAAATGATTTACATGGATCATTGTTCATTCATGGCTTAGAACATGTTGTTGACGACAAGGATTCTGAAAAAGCAAAGTTGAAGGAAAAGAGCTGTCTTGACAGATTAGCTTTCAAGTGGTGCGGGAGTGGTGATACTGATGATTCACAGCTTGAGAAAAGAATACTGACCAGCCTACAACCAAATACAAATTTGAAGGAGCTTGTTATCCGTGGTTATCCAGGCACAGAATTTCCCAAATGGTTGGGGGACAATTCCTTCTTCAACATGGTGTCTTTACAACTAAAGGGTTGTAAATATTGCTGCAAGTTGCCAGCACTTGGACAGCTCCCATCGTTGAAAGAGCTTCGAATCAGTAGATTTGATGGATTAGTCAGCATTGGCCCTGAGTTTTTTGGCAATCCTGCTGGAGCTATAAGCTTCCCTGCCCTTGAAATTCTAAGATTTGAGCATATGTCAGCATGGGAGAATTGGAGTCCTGAGGCTAACACTGGTTGCAAGGCTCTCAGTCAACTTCGAGAACTTCATATAGAGAGTTGTGCCAAGCTGACGGGGGATTTACCTAGTAACCTTCCATCTTTGAAGCTACTCATAATCAGAGACTGCCATCAGCTCCTTTGTTCACTTCCCACTGCCCCTGATTTGCGTGTATTGAACATTCAGAGTTGTGGGAATTTAGAATTCCCAGTTCATGGTCCTCAGTGCTACGGGTTACTCACATCCATGTACTTACTTGATAGCTTTGATTCACTCAAGTTCTTGCCATTAGATCTCTTCCACAACCTCAAGTCTTTAGATATAAGGGGTTGTAACAATCTGGAAGCTCTGACAGTTTCTGAATCAGGTGCAACTCCTCCGAATCTCCCATCACTCAGATCCTTGAGCATTAGACATTGTCCAAAATTTGCATCTTTTACCAAGGGAGGATTATCAGCCCCAAAACTCACTTTGTTGACAATCAACTACTGCCAGAAGTTGAAGTCTCTACCCGAGCAAATTCACAATCTGATGCCGAGTTTGAAGGAAGTCCAGCTTCGAGGTTGTCCACAAATGGAGTCATTTGAGATGAGACCCCTCAGAGTTCGGATTTGTAATAAATTGAGAGAGGAGAAACAGAACCTATCTGATCCTGTATTTGCTAGTTTTGAGGGACTTTCCTCTATTTGTAGCCCCTCATCAAGGTAGACAACTTGAAAGAGTCAAAGCTTTCCCTGGTCAGCAATACAGTTAACATACGTGACTTTATAATTGGCATGTAATGATGTTTTGATTATGTGCTGTCATTGCTGCCCTATTGCTATGTACATCGCATCTGTCATTTAATGGCTTTTAAATTTATAGGCTTTCTGTGATATGGTCAGTGATGGTATCATTTTTCTTTTCAAGAAGTTGACAGAGTAGACAAACCATGGAAGCCCCCGTTCTTGCTTTCTGAGAAGCAGGGTTTACTTGTAAGGAGTGAAATGCCTTTGGTTTATGTTTTTTTTTTCCTTCTGATGAGCAAAATGACGTTTTTTTTTTGTTGGTTATATGTAGCAATTTTTATTTGCTTCTACGGAAGTTGGCATTAATTATGGTGAAGAATGGATTGTTCTTTATGGAAATAATTGCAAAAATAACAAAAATGGGGAACTTAGGAGCGCATAATTATCTGAAGTTCCCCCCCCCCTGCCAACAATTATCTGAATTCCGTTAATAACGTTATTGCATGTCAACAGGATATTGAAGTAGAATGTAAATTAAAATTTCATGATATTTTTTAAAGAAATTTTGATGACAGGCTCCATTGTCATCGTGATTTAAAATGTTCTTGTGTTTTGGCCCCAAAGAAATATGAGTTCTTGGGCCTGAGCCAATTCAATTTGACCGTTTTGCTGGCCAAAAAAATCAAGCAGATCGATTTTTTCGGTAGATGTGATTAATCAATTTTAATTCTGGAAAAAACCTCAATGAAAATTGTTATAGACTTATAGGTATCGTCAATAATATTTCATAAAAGTGATTTAATTTTGTATTAAAAAAGGATCCATTTTACTCCAAAACAGCAGACGGGCAGACTTCGGTTAACATCCACCTAGTTTATGGACACCATCAATGAAAATTGGTTCACAAATAATATGGAAATTAAAAAAAACACTTTTGACTATAAGTTAAATAAAAAATTAAAAAAAATTAGTTAAACTAGTTATTTATAATAAAGAGACGTTATCTTTCTTAAAAGATTCTTATTAGTTACTCCTCCGTCCTTAAAAAGACCCAATTGACTTATTTGAGGAGATTAAGGAAGTAAGTAATAAGTTGGTTATTTATAATAAATAAGTGTTGTCATTCCTAAAATATCCTTGCTAATTAAGTATATTGGCTAAAACTATCATTATTAGAAGGATTATCTTGAAAAAAAATGCATAAATATAAGAAACAAAATGGATTGGATCTTATAATTAGGACCAAATAAAAAGTCAAATTGGGTCTTATAATAAGGACCGGAGGAGTATATGTATTAAATTTTTTTTTTGTGAAAACTTCTTACCAATGTTTTAAAAGCCGGACCGGAAGTTGAGCCGGAAAGATCAACGGGTCATGGTTCAATCGGTCGGATCGGTCGGACCGTTTGGTCAGACCGGTGATGCAATAATTAATTTAAAACAATATTATATACATATAATTAGTATATATGAAAAATATCAAATTATTAAATAATTTAGAAATTCATTTAAATAATCTAAAATTATAATGAAATCATTGAAAATGGACTAAAACCTTATATTTAAATTTATGTATGTTTAAAATATTTAATGATATTACAAATTATCAATTCATTCAAATCAAAATATTTTTTTAAACGATAGACCAAATATCAAAACAAAAAGACTAGCGACTTACGATTTTAACACCACAATATATGAAATTTTCAATGAAATAATACTCTATGGTTATAAATAGTCTAAAAATATATTAGGATACTTAAGGGGATCAATTTTTTTATTTTCTTCTATTTTTTTTAAATTTTTAGTATTTTTCAGTCAGGCTAAAAAACCGTCCGGTTTTCTAAAAACCGTTCCGGTTCCCGTCCAACTCCGGCTTCCGGCTTAATAACGGCTCAACTCCGGTTCATCCGGCTCAACTATATGAACGGTTTTTTAGTCCAAACCGAGCCGTTAACGAGTCCGGGTCACGGTTCAACCGGTTCGACCGTCCGGTCCGGTCCGGTTCTTAAAACATTGCTTCTTACAATAGACAAAATAGATAAATAATAAAAATAAAGTAGATTGAAGTATTTCCGTTCCTTTTTATGAGAAATAATCCCTCTTATAGTAATATCCCTAAATACAAGATACAAATCCTCTTTGTCTGAAATTTTAAACCAGTATTTTCACTCTTCCCCACAGTAAATATAATTCGCTTATTATTTTGGAAAAATTGGGGATAAATACCCCATTGAAAAATCTATTGGCAAATGGGACCTAAGGATTTTGTGCAAATGAACTTTTGTTGGGTGCAAGTGATCTTCTGTTTTTGTGCAACTGATCTTTCATGTGTGTGCAATTGATTTTCCCTCTACATGCAACTGATTTTTCATGGTGTGCAACCAATCTTCCGTATGTGCAACTGATCTTTCTAGGCCCCATTTGTCAATTTATTTCTCAATGGGGTATTTATCCCCAATTTTTCCTATTATTTTTACATCTATTATCTCTCGTACTCTCTTTACAAATAAGGCTATAATTAAAAAAATATGTATCTATCTTATACATTTATTGTTTTAAATCAATTAAGCAAATATTTTCAACAATGTGATTTTAGTAGTTGTTTTTTGTAACAATGAAGGAAGGGAGTATTATGCTTAGTAGTTAGTACACCCTCCAGTTCCATCTATAACCTTCAAAATTAGAAATGTGTATAGTCTATTTTATAAGTTTCAATTTAGATTTGTCTTAATATTTAATACATTTTAATGTTATCTTTAATTATTTTCTCTTATCACAATTTCTTACACATTATCTTTTATCTTTTATATTTATTATAAGGATATATTTAAAATAAAAATATTTATAACCTATTTGTTATTTTGAATTAATTGTAATTAATTATTTAAAACTTATAATAAAAATACAGGAGAGTACCAAATTAAGTCACAAAATATTCAAAGGCAAAAAAGTCTGGCAGTAATCCAAGCGCTGGGGCGCCAAGTCGACAAGGTCAAAATCGAAGTGCTCTGTATGCGAGAGTCATGATTTCACTGTCGCCGCATTACGCTTCCGATTAGGGCTCCGTCGCAAGTTTTGGTTGAGATCAGAAAATGGCAACCTGCATCTCCAAGGTACTTTATTTGCAGGGTAATTTGGTCTTTTTGTATGGCTTTCCCAGTGGGAAGAGCAGTGGAAAAAAAACTCATTTCCCCTTCCTCCGAACGGGACCTGTTATGCTGTTTGTCAATTATCAATATCATTGATTCTCAATGCAATGTGTTATTATGCAGGTAGGGAAAAAATATCCTGCAAGCCGCAGCCTTCTTTAAGGAAAAGGTCCAACCTTGCGTTTAAACTTAAAACCACGGAAGAGTGAACGAAAACGCCGTTGTTTCTTTGCCGTATCGCACTCTTCCTCCATTTAGGGTTTCAGATAATTTTGCCTTCATTTCTTCAAATTTACCTTTCTCACTCCTGTCTATTCGTTCATCTGAGCCCAATATAATGCGATTCTTCCGCTCTTATCTCCACATCCAATGTGGCAGCAGGATATCGCATTTCCTCCTTTCCTTTTGGTGACTCTCGAAACCGAAATTTGAATCGAGCTATTTGATGTGCAGACCGTATTGTTGGGTGAGTAGAATCAAATTCTAAATTAAAAACAAGTATAGGTTGAACTCCTCTTTCCAATTTTTTTTTTCATTTGTTTCTTTTTTTTTTGGTTGGGGGGGGGGGGTGGGGTGTAGGTGGACTTGATGCATGACGGCGTATATTAACTGGGCAGGAAGCTATAGTGGAGCTCTCAGTGTAGGGGTGAACTTCGGGTATATAGCCATTAGTCCTTTTTCATGCTTACGTTGGCTAACACTAAAAGAAATTTTATCCTTGATCTAATTTGATTACTTGTGTTTGGTTAGAATTAGAATGGTCACTCTGTCAATAGTAATCGGTTGCTATTGCTGGTTGTATCATTTGCTGAACATTTAAGTTGGTTGGCAATGCATTGTATCGATGTGAATGGAAGTTAAAAAAAATTAATTTTATCGTACTGTAAACTGGCTTTTACTTTGGATTGGAACGAGACATAAGCAGATAATACTTCCCTGGACTAGCTGTCGATGTAATTTATTAGTTTGCAATTCTATTTTTTGGTTCCCTTTGGTTCCTATATTTGTTGACTGCAGTGTGTAAAGAATTATCTGTTAATGATACTTTGCTTGCTCTTCAGTTATTCTTGTTTGCTTAATGGGAATTTTTTCACAGCCAAGTTTGGAATGAATGAAATGATGGTCCCGGCAACAAGCAATTCCTGCACCTTTAGATTACCTAGCGTTCTCCACAAGGCATTTACATTACCATTAGAAAGGAGAACATGTGCAAAAGGAGCTTTACGAAAATTTTCCACATATGCGTCGCCTATGATCTCTTCAACAGCTGCTCCCATGCATCGGCCACCATCATCTATGGTATTAGCTTCCCAGCTTTCACAGTCTGATGTTCCACAGAGATCAGAAGAGTGGTTTGCCCTTCGTAAGGACAGGCTGACTACAAGCACCTTCAGTACTGCATTAGGATTTTGGAGTGGGAACCGTCGTCTTGATCTGTGGAATGAGAAAGTATTTGCATCAGAAGCGCAAATCTTGGAATCTTCTAAGAAAGGTGCCATGGATTGGGGTGTGCTGAATGAAGCAGCAGCTATAGATCAGTACAGGCAAATCACAGGTCGTGAGGTGAGCTCAATGGGTTTTGCTGTTCATCCAAAAGAGCGGTTTGATTGGCTTGGGGCCTCCCCGGATGGTCTTCTTGGTTGCATCCCTGGAGGTGGGATACTTGAAGTCAAGTGTCCTTACAACAAGGGCAAGCCTGAAACTGCCTTGCCTTGGTCTGCCATGCCTTTCTATTACATGCCTCAGGTGCAAGGTCAAATGGAAATATTGGATCGTGATTGGGTTGATTTATATTGCTGGACGCCAAATGGAAGTGTGATATTTCGCGTGTGCAGGGACCGTGAGTATTGGAACTTGATATACGGGGTTTTACGTGAATTTTGGTGGGAAAATGTGATTCCTGCTAGAGAAGCTGTGCTATTAGGGAGGGAAGAAGAGGCCAAGTCATATGAGCCTCAATCTAAACACAAACTGAGAGGGTTAGTAATTTCTAAAAGCATAAA